GAAGGAAGTACCAGCCCTGGCTATTGTAGCTCAGCGAACTGAGTGCAGGCCTGTGAACCAAAAGGTCACTGGTTCAATTCCCAGTCAGGGCACATGCCTGGGTTGCATCCCAGTCAGGGCACATGCCTTACTGGCCAGGTCCCCAGTAAGAGGCACTCGAGGGGCAACCACACATGGATGTTTCTTTCTCCTCATCCCTTCCCCTCGCTCTAAAAATAAAATCTTAAAAAAAAAAAAAAAAGAAGAAGAAGAAGAAGGAAGAACCAGAGATTGAGGAGGAGGTTCATCTGCAACACATACTGTGCGAGGACAATTGTGCTTGAAACTGCACTCTCATTTCTGTTCCGAATGTGTACACCCCATACATTCTCATCCATTCTCCTGTGCAAGAGGGGGCAGAGCTTCCTTCCAAGTGTTACCGGTGGGGGGGGCCACGATATACCCTCATGTAGACAATGAACTGGCTTCTCCAGTGCCACAGAGCAAATGGAGACACAGGCCTTTTCCCCGATAGAAGACTTCTGAAACCACATTTCCCACCCTTGCGCTGTACTGGCAAACTCACGTGTCAGACGACTGCCTGACGGCCTAGCTCTGGGAGCCGCTCCGTGGGTCGGAAGGGTTCGCTTCCTTCTCCTGGCTAGGAGCCAGGATGACCATACACACCTGGGTCTTGGGAACACTGTTTTACCCACTGGCATGTCAGGTGAGGCGGGGGACACAAGATATGAGGGGTCCCTTTTCTAGTGAAGAGAGTGGAAAGGAGGAAATAAGAATAGAATTACAGATAACTTCCAAATCGTCAAATTTTTCCTTTGAACCATGACTTATCATTAGCTCCACCCAACCTGCTTTCTCCCTGACCTCAAACAAACTTGTAGATGGCAATGAGTGTGTGAGCAGCCGATACTCAGTGTGATGGTGGCCCACGTCACACATAATATCTACACTTTGACAGAATGTGACGGCCCCATTTTGCTGCTTTCTCCTCAGTGATTCCAAACCCCCCCAATTTTTTTATTCTTTTGAATTGCTCACGTCAATACTTACATCCACTAGCGTTAATTCAGAGCTGGCTTTACATAGCTCCCAACAATAGCCCAGTCAGGAAGTCATCGATGGATGCCAAAACTACTGGGAGAACAGTTGTGGGGAACAGAGTATTTATATCATGCCAGAGTATCACCCCACTAACCAGTTATTAAGGGGCTTTTTTAGCATTATTTTAAATATATGTTTACAACGGGAAATTTGGTGATCACTACCTCCAGGCATCAGACTTGGCTAGTAATGGACACTCTGTGCTTCACCCATGAAACGCTCTCGCCAAAATGTTTTATTTGAATCTAATCAGGTCCCAGACCTAACTTCTCATTTGCATGAAATAAAGGGGACAGAGGAACAGGTTAAATGTCACCATGAGGAAAGAGAAAAACCAAGATTGTGGGACCGCCAGAAAACAACTGGCCCACTTTTCAAGTCATGAAATCAAATGTATGGTGACAGAAGACCATCTGTCTTTGGGCGGTGGGCACACGTCATATACAGATCACGTATCACAGAAATATACACTTGAAACCTATGTGACCCTAGGAACCAATGTCACCCCAATAAATTTAATAAAAAAGAAAATAAAGTAACTAAAAAAACCCAAACAATCAAACAAAAGACAGGGGCGGGAATGGAGTTCTAGATAGACTTTTTAAAAAAGATATAACCAAACAAGAACCTTGACACTGGATCCTGGATCCAAAACCAAAACCAAAACCAAAAAAAGAGCCATCAAAGGGGAAACTGAACGTGGACGAGCTGTGAGCTGAGAGGGGATGAGATGGACTTACAGACCGTTTCCGTGGTGTAACAATGAAATCGTGATGATGTGGAAGAATGCCTGTATTCTCAGGAGATGCCACTGAAGAAAAGGGCGAAGTGTCGTGATATTTGCACCTTACTTTCCTGGTTTACCAAAAAAGCACCTATGGATGCATGTATGTACACATGCCTAGACACATATACATGCTACACAGAAGACAAGAGAGATTAGACAATATGGCTACATCGTCAACTCATTTTCACTGGGGGCCACATCAGCCTCGCGGTTGCCCTCAGAGGGCTGGATGTAATTTTGGGACTGTGTACACGTAACTACTCCTTAACTAGGGGCAAGGAGCTTGGTGCTGCTGCCAGGTGGGAACTCGGTGCCCAGCCGGATGAGCAAGGTGGAGGGCCGGACCGGGCCCGCGGGCCTTGTGTTTGCTGCCTGTGGGCTACAAGCTCACAGTGAGTCTAGGTGAGGAGTAAGTGCTTACAAACTTTTCTGCAGGTTTGCAATGTTTTCAAAATACAGTTGTGAGAAATAAAAAGAAAAACTGGCTTAATTTGGGAAGACGAACATTCAGTTCACTCCTCAGCAAGGATCTAAACTCTTCAGCATTTCCATTTTGGCAAGTTACAGTCAGATTCACGTGGGTCACTGCTCTGGATTTCTAATTTGGGGAAAGAGAAGATGGGCGAGAAGAAATGAAACAGTGAATGAGGCTTAATCTGAGGCAAGGAATTGAAAGATGTAAATCAGCATAAGGTTAGAACAAAGATACTAAGTGAAGGAGACTTTAAACCGTATCGAGAAGTGTCCTGTCATCCCAGGACCGAGAGCAAGATGGGGGCAGAATTAAGGGGGTTCCTATAGGTCCAGAAACACAGCTGAGGCTGGATAGAACCACCTGCATGTCCAGCCAAGTTACCCTGGGGCATCCATTTGCCGCTGTTGTTCTTCAAAAGGAATGTGGAAATCAGATAAATCCTAGGGAAGGGGGATAAGAACAGCTAAAGGGAAAGCAGGTGGGTCCCAGGAGAAAGGTGAAATGAATCAGAATTTATCAGTCGGTCTTCCGAGTGGGTGCAAAAATGAAGGGTGTTAAAAAGACTTTAGTTAGGAGAGTCTAGCTGGGTAAAAGGGAGAACTTGCTCATCAGAAGTGAATGAGGGAAACTGTAGAATCTACCAAAGAACAACCCTGGGAAGAGATAATTATATGCTCCCAGATGTCTCAGCGTTCACCCCCAGGAGGCAGGATGTTATATCAGAACAGCCTGAGCCTCCGCTAGTTCTAGAATTCCCCAGCCATTAAAGGGTAAATAAGGGATGGTTCCTGACCAGTTCGGCTAAAATGAAATCTTGGAGCCCATGCTATTTACCTGGGGGTAAAATAAGGGGAGAAAAATGGCCCCGAGTCAAGGGGAGACTTGCTGATTAAACAGCTGTGTTGTGGGCACCCAGATGATCTCTCCCACCTCCTCCCCCGAGCAGGAGTGTATAAATAGTGCTCAATTTACCTGTGGCAAGCCACAGGCAGGTCTAATCACATGATGGGGCCAGCCTGGAGTAAACACCTGGTAGACATCAGCGCTCAGAGGGCAGGTGTGTGCACTAGCTATACCTCACTAGTTTGGAATCTGTCAGGACCTCTGCTTCTGTCCCTGACTCCGATTCATTTTGTTCTGGATTGGGAGTGGGGAGCGGGGCTATAGTGAGCAATTGTCAGTTATGTTCCTTGGGGAAGATACAGTCACAGAATTTGCTTTGCCTTCAGGGTCTAGAATTCTATTAGGGTCACTCCGCTCAACCCTCACAGCCTTGAAAACCTACATGGACCATTTAGTCCCCCTGCAGAAAGTCCTCTCTGGTCACCTCCATCTCTTCACTCAGGCTCTAGCCTGTGTCCCCAGTTTCAAAGAGGAGATACCCGAGAGACCACTACGCCCCATTGTGAGCGGTTCCCCACCTAGCCCCTGACGTTCTGGAACCGACCCAGCCTGACCTCAGCTCAGGGGCCAACTCCCAGGCTGTGTCGTACAGGTGGAAAAGCCCGCGGTGTGCTGGGCAGCCTTCCAGGCCAGCCCCTGCTCTTGCCAGCTGCTCAGACCCCCTGGGGGAGGCTCCGAGGCTGCCTGCGTGGTGCTTCCACAGCAAACCGAGCCTGGAAAGCCAGGGGAGACGGCCCCTCCAGAGACAGCTCTGAAAGGTCTGATACTGGGGACTTCTGTCCCGCTGTTAGCATGTGCCTGAGTGCTGATGACGTCATAGCAGAAGGATGCGCGTCAGCTCACCTCCCCACGCATGCTTCCGGTCACTGAAGGTAGTTCCGCCATCTTGCCCCGTGTGAGATGGGCTTTGTGTCTGCTTTTAAACCAAGGGCTGCTTAACGGTCACGTCACCTTCTTTTCTAAGTCAGGTAAAGAAAAGGCTTAGCCTCCTGAAGCAAAGGGAAATGGTTTGGAATATTAATTACCAAGACGTCCTATCCACGCCTCTAAGAACTGGAAGAGGCTCAGTGGTCACTGTCCCCTCTAAGCAGACAGCTTTGGCCAGTTGTGCAGCTGCTCCAACACAGACCTCCGAGATGCAGACCACCCAGTGGACTGTCACCCTCTGCATCGTGACCTGATTCTGGATGCCCGCCCACCCAGCACTTATTCTGGGGTAGGACGGAGCCAGGAAGAATCAGAGAATAGTGGGGAGAGCAGATATAACTTGGTAACTGCCTAAGGACAATCTAAATATATAAGCTGGGTAATAACATGGTAAATGCTCATGGGTGTATTTTACGTAACTGGCTGGAGCCCATGAAAAAATTCCTTGATGCCAGCTTAACCACACGGTCTTATGGCTCTAGGGTAGCTGTAGGGAGACATTTCAGATAAAGGACACACACTAACGCAGAAGACTTTTTAAAGCCTGTTTTTTCCTATGGTAAGAACCATAGTAGAACCCTGGCTGGTGTGGCTCAGTGGATGGAGCAGTGGCCTGTGAGCCAAAAGGTCACTGGTTTGGTTCCCAGTCAGGACACGTGCCTGGGTGGTGGGCCAGGTCCCCCATTGGGAGAGGAAATTGATCAATGTTTCTCTCCCTCTTTTTCTCCCTACCTTCCCCTCCCTCTATAAATAAATAAATGAAAACGAATGAATAAATAAGAAGTACAGCAGGACTCATTTACCTACCCCAATCCTGGAAACGAGGGGAAATACCAGCAAGCAGAAATGTCAGGAATGGTCCGAGTGCCTTCGTGGAGCGCAGACAGGACGTGTGAAACGAGGTTTGGTGTGAGAGAAGAGGAGCCGGGGAAGAAGGACCAGTGCCTGAGCCTCTCATTCCGTCCGCTTAGCAGGCCCACCCCTCCTCAGGCCCTGGAGTGCGAGGAAGGTTTCATTGACTAAGAGTGAGGCACGCCTTTGTATTTAAGCTGGAACTCCTGTCCGCCGGGTAAGACACGCCACAATAAACCCTACAGACGCCCTCTCCCAGGCGCCTGTACGTTACAAGGCAGTGAGCACAACGAATCAACTGAGAAAGCTGTCTGGCCCAGTCCCATAACCTGGCATCATTTTCTAAAGCAAATTCAACTCTGCCCCCCCCACCACACCCTCAGATCTCTACTGTAAAAATGCAGTGCAGTTTTACTTCTGATTCCATGTATTGTAAGGAATGAAGGGAGCAGAGTAAAGAGCAGCAGCAGAAGAGTGTTTCTTAGAGTAAGGATGCAGTGTTCCCCAAGAAGGCACCACCTGGACCCCGGCATGTGCCCAGTGCACATCTGCAGACTGCTGCATCCCTGCCGACCCCTCCTCCGCTGGGTCAGGGTGGGGAAGCGACTGGGCTCGGACACACAGCGGCAGGCACCCTGTCATTCTCAGAATCTGATGTCCACCTTGTTCAGCTTGACTTAGTAAGGACAAGATGGGGTGGCCTACTGTAACGGCCAGTCCCTGGGCCCAAATCCTGCCTCTGCCCCAATGTTCTACATGAACTCAGACGAGTCATTGACTTCCCGGGGCTTCAGCTGTTCCGTCTGTCCAATGGAAAGAATAGAAGATGTTACAAGGATGGCAGAAGAAAACTTCTACCATGGTGCAGTCAAATTAGTTCAGCATATATTCATTTTCTAAACTTTTTACTTGGAAATGACTGCAAACTTACAGATGCAAGAACACGAACAGTGCGTAGAACACCCATATAACCTTGACCCAGATCTGCCTACTGTTAAATATTTGCCCCACTTGCTTTTGTTCATGTGCACTTTTTCTCACACACACACATTCAGATACACGCACACCATCCTTTGTTGGGTTTCTGTGTGGTGTTCTATTTGAAAACAAGGACGTATCAGAAGGTGGGAGGTTCAGGATGAAGAGAAAGCAAAAGGGGCCTTGCTACTTGGTGACGATCCCACGGCTCTGCTCCCTTCTCCCTGCCCCCAGTGCCGACGGCAAGCGCTCGAGTGTTCTGGTTTAGCGATGAACTATTATTACATGGACAGGGACCAGAAAAAGTACTTGTTACATGAGATAGTTGGTTATTCTTGTCTTTTTCGTTAAACAACAAAAACCACAAAAAACAACCACAAGGCATTTATATGAACCATGGAAATTGCTTTATTATACAGAATAATTTTTATACTTGTTACAATGGGATTTTATGTTACGAAGTTGGAAAGTAACTGGGAAAGAAAGTTTCTACATGAGCATATGGTTAGGAGGGTGTTACGAATTCTACACAGAGTCTGGTTTGGTGAGAGAGGTAAGGAGGTGAGGCTGCCCATTACCCTGTTGGGAGGGTTAGGTAATCTCTATGAAGCAGGCCAGGCAAATCTCCATGCCACCAAGTCCCTAGATGGACTTGCCCTGAATTCAAGTCCCACGCTGTCCCCCTTACTGGGCACAGGCTTGTCTTAGAAAGGCACCATCATGCGTCACAATGGCTCCAGGCCCAGTTAACCTGAAGCTAGGAGACGGAAACATGCTCAGGTGGGGGTGGGGGGAGGCCATGCTAGGGGAGTCAGGGGAAGCTTTGCACCAGGAATTCCCTACATGGAGGGCTAAGTTGTCATCAAGATGGAATGCCACCTGCACCTACCCCCCAACATAGGAATGCACCACCCACATTCATTCCCAGTTGCTTTTTGGGGGGTTGCACGCCATCACACATAAGATAGACACCCTTTCCTATATACTCCATCTTAAGATAATCTCCACGTGACCCCAAGCTCAGCAAAAATGACCATGACCCCCAGAGGTAGGAAAACCCTGCCCGCCTCCTGGGCCCCATCTGTCCCTGGTTAGCTGCTCATTCCACATGGAAATTGCTTGTGTCCAACCCGTTGGAAACACTCAAAAGCCACCACATTACACATATAATGTAATCACCACCACCTTCCGATTAGCTGCACCAAGCGGACAGTCACTTTTCAGGTGCTACAGGAACAGACTTCTGTGAAGCCCCTTTTCCTTTCTGATTCTCTAATTTGGTCAACCGAACAAACGACTTTTTGCTCCTGGAATGCAGGTGTACGGCAGACGAGAGACCAAGGCTGGGCACGTGCTGGGCAGGCAGCAGAGGACGCCAGCTGGGGAGGACAGGCACACCAGGCTGTCCAGACTACGTGGGAAGAGCCCTGGGGTCAGGGGCAAAAGGGCTTTCTCAGTCACACGGTTTTGGGCGAGGCACTTCCTTTCGTGGCCTCAGTTTCCTTGTCTGCAGTAACCACCAAATGCCACCTGCAGCTGCAGGACGGAGAACGTGCAGGATGTGCAGATGAACGAGAAGCATTCGAGAGTGCTGACTGTGAGCAACAAAGAACTAAACAAATGGCACTCACTGTCAAAAGCAAAGATCTATACTCCCCTACTTCCCCAGAAAATGCCAATGAATTTGGGGATTTCCCGGAACTGGGATTCACAAACTCTCCCTTCCCACAGGGCACCTGTTTCAGCTGCCTTCTGTGAACACGGAACTATCCGGGATTTCGGTTCTAATAAGGACAAGTCCAGGTGTCACTCTCAGTGCGAAGATGTGCACAGAACCCATGGACGTGACTCACGTCGCCCTCCTCTCCCCAGTCTCTGAATCCGGACTACGTAATACTGTGGAAGCTCTCTGGTTGCATCCCCTCTGTCATGCCAAGTGCTATCCACCTCCACCCTCCGCCCCAGTGTGTGTCGTATCTGATGGGCACGAGTTACAAAGACAATCCCAGACAGGGGCCATGCGGCAGGTTTTGAGCCGGCCTGCAGGTGTGGGGCAGGGAGCGCACGTGTTATCAACGGTGGTTCTCTCAGCCGTGTGGGCGATCAAACACGCACAGAGCACGGGAAACCCTTAGAGGAGGGAAGGCAGTGTGTGGGGTACAGAGGAGAAGGGAGAAGGAGATGAAGCTGCCTTTCTTTTCTCCCAATCACATTTTTACTCTTTCCAAAGTTACCCCCGGCTGAGGGGGTTTGGAAACCATTTTGCCTAAGCCACCAGGCCTGTGGTTGACAACTTGATAAAGGCGAGGGAACACAGGCTCCATGGATGACAGTGTTTGTGTCCAAGGGCTGAGGAATGACAATGAGCTTCCCTTTCCAGGATTTTCCCACACGGCGGGGGAAGAGAAAGAGAAATGGCAGCGCCTTGTATCACAGGATGGCACCTGGCTCGGGAGGGAGGATTCCGGGCTTATCACGCTTCTGAAGCCACTAATGGGGTCAGCAGACAACTCTGCTCCCTGGCCTAGAAAAGTCACCAGTTCAGACCTCATCATCCTGCTTTCTTTCGCAATGTGTTTTAGCACTGCTAGGAATTTGGCGCAAATCTATCTGCAGTGAAAGGACGTCCACTATTCACCTCGGTCTCCTTGGCCTCGCACCCATATCCACATTTAAGCCTAAAGCCAGGTAGTCTGGCCTTTTTACAAAATCTCTACAAAACCCTAAACACTGACTGTTTCCATGGATCAACCTGGTAACTAACTACCCAAGTCACCCCCTGGCTCTACTTGTGTGTGGGGAAGAGAGTCTATCAGCCTAGCAATGACATCCATGGAAATGCCACGTCGTTGCCACCAGCTGGGCTTCAAGCCCAATGACCAGGATGAATAGTGATTTGGGGGGGGGGGAGACTAACACTTGGGGGTGGGGGTGCTCATGAGGAGCTGAGGAGAGGTGTTATGAAGGGGGCACAGTGTATGGGGACCCAGAGTGGGAAAAAGCACCCCCAGGGAGCTTTTTCTGGGGGAAGTGTGGCTCCCTCTCCCCACCCCTGCCGCCTTTCCAGCAACTCAATCCAACAAGTATTTATTGAGCACGACACTCCCCATCTGCCCTGGCCCTCCCTCTGCAAAAACACTCAAATCTGTTCAAGCTGCAGGGTGAGTTCCACTGCACTTAAACTTGAAACATGAGGTGCCTACCTTTTAAAAAGGCAGGCACACAATTTCCAGCATGAGGCAGAAGGGACTAGAGAGATTTGGGAGAGTTAAGGAGTACAGCTGACCAGACAAGGCCACACTGATGCCACTTCTGAAAGGGAGAGGAGAGAGTAAAAACTTAACCTTAGGGAGAATAATATGATGTCCAATTAAAAAAAAAAAAGCCTACTCAAACCCAGTAATTCTCTAATTACCTCCACCTAACACTGCAGTGTTCCTTCACCCCATGCTGCCTCCAGCTTGAACTTGTATCTGATCCTCTCGCAGACAGGTGAGTTATCTGCCTTTAGAGGTGCACATTTAATCCTGCCTTTGCTTCTCAAGGAGGTTAGACTTCAGTGCTCTCCTGCATGTTTTCATTTAGGATCAGATGATACGGGGTTCAGGTGGAAGGGCTGGTGGTAATGTAGATTATGCTTGTTAACAGAGTCCTCCCCGCCCCCACCAAAAAGCCACCTGCCATTCACCAAACAGGGAGTGTGGGGTCCAAGAAGAGGCCTCCCAAACTTGCAATTCTACGCTGCCAAACACTGCACATTCTCTAAGAAGTCATCTTCAGTCATCTGAGAGACACCGCCCCCAAACCCTAATCATGGGCTTGCTGCTTCAGATCAACCAAAACCCTTCAGGGAGTCTTCCCAGGCCTCCCCCAACCTCCACCCCTTTTATTAGGGAGCTGGAAGCAGAACTGCTAACGTGCAGGCAGGGCTGAGCCCCAGGCGCTCCATCCACCCCCGGTGTCTCGTGCGTAGGGCAGGGTAAGTGCCTGCACACAGCCCGGACTGCAGTTCCAGGTTCCCCAGGGGCTGGAGTTAGAAGTTTTCCGATTATGAAATACTCTGATAGCATTCTTTTAAGTTTGCTAAAGCTACCTTTGATTAGCTGAGATGCTCCCACACAGCGAAAGTCCACGGACGCTTACTGGAGCCTGAGGATAAACAT